TTTTTTGAGAGGAGTTTTGCTCCTGTTGCCCAGGCTGGAGTGCAGTGGTGCTTGCTCACTATCAGCTCACTGCAACCTCTGCCTCCTGGGTTCAAGCTGTTCTCCTGCCTCAGCTTCCCAAATGGCTGGAATGACAGGTACGCACCGGCATGGGCCACCATGCCCAGCTAATTTTGTATTTTTAGTAGAGATGGGGTTTCACCATGTTGGTCAGGCTGGTCTCAAACTCCTGACCTCAGGTGATCCACCCGCCTCAGCCTCCCAAAGTGCTGGGATTACAGGTGTGAGCCACTGCGCCTGGCCAGTATTTGGTATTTTGTTAAAGCAGTCCAAAAGGGCTAAGAGGGAGTTACTAATACCAGTGGTACCTTTAATAAAGTATTTATTAGGTTTATTTTAGTTGAAGGGAGCATTTACTTGTTCATTTCTCTGCTGCCAAGAATATCTTCAGACATATTTATTGAGCTTTCTTGAATTGGCAACAACTATTAACACTACAGCTAAAGAAGAAAGAAACTAACTTTTTTTTTTTTTTTTTTTTTTTTGAGATGGAGTTTTGCTCTTGTTACCCAGGCTGGAGTGCAATGGCGTGATCTCGGCTCACCACAACCTCCGCCTCCTGGGTTCAGGCAATTCTCCTGCCTCAGCCTCCTGAGCAGCTGGGATTACAGGCACGCGCCACCATGCCCAACTAATTTTTTGTATTTTTAGTAGAGACGAGGTTTCACCATGTTGACCAGGATGGTGTCGATCTCTTGACCTCGTGATCCACTCGCCTCGGCCTCCCAAAGTGCTGGGATTACAGGCGTGAGCCACTGTGCCTGGCCTAGAAACTAACTTTTGAATGTGAACCCTGTATAGGGAGTTTTATATTTACTCTTCCATGTAATATTTGTAACAAACCTGTAAAGGATGAGGAAAAGTGAAACATTGTTTGAAAAAGTGAAACATTGTTTTTTTTCAAAGGTTATACAGCTGGCAAATGGTAGAGCTGAGATGGAGAAAGCAAAGTCTTCAGTTTTTGTTTTTTCTTTTCTTTTCTTTTCTTTTTTTTTTTGAAACGGAGTGTTCCTGTTGCCCAGGCTGGAGTGCACTGGCATGGTCTTGGCTCACTACAGCCTCTGCCTCACGGGTTCAAACAATTAGCCTGCCTCAGCCTCCCGAGTACCTGAGAAGACAGGGGCCTGCCACCACACCTGGCTAATTTTTGTATTTTTAGTAGAGACAGGGTTTCACCATATTTGCCAGGCTAGTCTTGAACTCCTGACCTCGTGATCTGCCTGCCTCAGCTTCCCAAAGTGCTGGGATTATAGGCGTGAGCCACCATGCCCAGCCAAGTCTTCAGTTTTAAACCAGTATTTTTGAAAGTATTCCTTGGAGGTGCCCAAGAGTTGGCCATGAGAGTAAGGAAGAGCTTTAGTTCTCCCACTTTGCTTAAGGCCGAGTAGCTCAACTTTGACCTGTTTTACATTTTAGTGTTTTCACATAAGATTTCATTTGGAAAAAGGATTCTGCTTCTTTAAAAAGAGAAACCCTGGAAGACCACCAATTTGAGGAATCATAAAAGGAAGTTAGCTAAACCAATCTAAAGATTGAAAAGATGGCTAAGTTACATAACTGCCAGTCAGGAAATTATGTCAAAGTTTGAAGTGACTTGGTATCACAGCCACATGTGCAGTGCAGTTATTCTGCCCTTAGGAGCATTGTACAGCAGGAAAAGAGCATGGACTCAGGTGTTTATTTGTTTTTGAGACAGAGTCTCACTCTGTTGCCCACGCTGGAGTGCGGGGCCTCGATCTCAGCGCACTGCAACCTGAGCCTCCCGAGTACCTGGGATTACAGGCGCGTGCCACCACATCCAGCTAATTTTTGTATTTTGAGTAGAGACAGAGTTTCACCATGTTGGCCAGGCTGGTCTTGAACTCTTGACATCAAGTGATCTGCTCACCTTGGCCTACCAAAGTGTTGGGATTACAGGAGTGAGCCACCGTGCCTGCCCAGAATACTTCTTTTTTTCTTTCTTTCTTTTTTTTTTTTTTAAGCCAGCTCAGAACACTTATTTTTAAATCTGGTGGCTACTGGATGTACCTGGTAGGTGCTTTGTATGCTTGTTTTTGATGAAGTTAGTCTTTAAAGTGCTATGATTATTTACTCATAGATGTGTCTGATTGATTAAATGAGAAAACTTAGATAGACTTCATTAAGTTCGTTGTTACTGGATTTAAAGCAGCAGCAGTGCAAAGGAACCCTATATGGTGAGTTAAGAGCCCTGGGCTTATGTCTCAGAAATGCCCTTAGTGAGTTTGTAGCAATGGACAAGTGAATCTAACTTTCTGAGATACTGATTGACTGATTGAGACAGGGTGTCATTCTCCTACCCAGGCTAGAGTGCAGTGGTGCAATCATGGCTTACTGCAGCCTTGACGTCCCAGGCTCAAGTGATCTTCCTGCCTCAGCCTCCTGAGTAGCTGGGACTACCGGTGTGTGCCACCATGCCCGGCTAATCTTTGTTATTTTTTTTGTAGAGATGGGGTTTTGCCATATTATATGCCCAGGCTGGTCTCAGACTCAGTGCTCAATCCTCCCTCCTTGGCCTCCCAAACCACCAGTATTGCAGGAGTGAGGCACTGTTATATGGCACTTTTCACGATTTTATGTTTAAAATGATGCCCAAGTCACTTTTAACTCTGTATATCCATGACTTGACAAAAAAGTTAAAGATACTTTATTTTCATTGCTAGAATTTCCAAAAATTGCAGGTTATATTTGGAGAAAGAGCTTTGTGCTGACAAACTTCTGTTCATACTTACTGAGTGTGTCCACTGCAGTGATTTGTATAGAAGGACATTGGGGATCTTTTGCTCAGGCATAGGAATTGAAATTTGTGGCTTATAGAATATCAGCAGAATGAAGCCAGAACCACTGTAAGGAAGCAAATGTGAGAGATTATCTGTTGCTTTGGGGAAGATAGCTGGTGTTTTCAAACCATGCCACTTTGTACTTCATTGACAGTAACACTTGCCACATTTCAGTACAGTGGTTATAGTTACAGTATATTACAGTGTTGTCTTCCTACAAGCTCTTGGAGGTTGGAGGCCCTGTCTGTTTGTTTTTTTTCCACCTCTCTATCCCTCTCACCTGCAGTAGGGCTTGCTGCATAGTGTAGACCTCCAAAAATATGCTCAATGGACAAAAATAGTTGAACCAAGATCAGCAGACATATTTAGAAAATGACTTGTGCCTACATACTTGCTAAATGTATTGAATTTTTTGTGTTGGCACGTGACAGTATAGAAAAGCCTGATGAAGGAAAAAAAAACCCAGTGTTGTAGCTTTAATCCACAGTTTATGTCTTACTGGCTTAAAAAAATATATTAACAGCAATCAAATTACGGTTTGATGGAGGGCAAGTAATACCGTGTTGAGCCAAGGTTTTCTCTGTAAAATGGGAGTGAGCATGAGCCACTGCACCCGGCCACTTTGTTTTCAAGTTTCTCTCTTGTTGCCCAGGCTGGAGCGCAGTGGTGCAATCTCAGCTCACTGCAACCTCTGCCTCCTGGATTCAAGCAATTCTGCCTCAGCCTCCTGAGTAGCTGAGATTACAGGTGCCCACCACCACTCCCAGCTAATTTTTGTATTTTTAGTAGAGATGGGGTTTTGCCATGTTGGCCAGGATGGTCTTGCACTCCTGACCTCAGGTGATCTGCCTGCTTCAGCCTCCCAAAATGCTGGGATTACAGGCGTGTGCCACTGAGGTGCCCAGCTGTGTTGTGTTATTTTTATTTTTATATTTTTTGATAGAGTCTCTCTTTTCTCCCAGGCTGGAACACAGTGGCATGGTCTTGACTCACTGCAACCTCTACCTCCCAGGCTCAAGTAGTTCTCATGTCTCAGCCCGCCAAGTAGCTGGGATTACAGATGTGCACCACCATAGCTGGCTAATTTTTGTTACAGACAGGGTTTTACTGTGTTTGTTGACCAGGCTGTTCTCAAACTCCTAACCTCAAGTGATCATCCACCTGGCCTCTCAAATGCTGGGATTACAGGCGTGAGCCATTGCGCCCAGCCTCAGCTGGGTTTTTCAAGTATAGTTTGGCACACAGCAGACTAGGAATGGGTACTGCTAATCGGTTGGGGTTGCAGTCATAGGCACATGGAAAATGGTCCTCATGTAATGAGTCTGCTTCTGGCTAGGGGCTACAGAGGAATCGCTGGTTGGGGTGTGGTCATCTTGTCATCAGAAGTGCAAAAGTCTGAAAAGACATCTTTAAAAGGGCAATCTTGGCTGGGCATGGTAGCTCACGCCTGTAATCCCAGCACTTTGGGAGGCCGAGGCAGATGGATCACATGAGGCCAGGAGTTCGAGACCAGCCTGGCCAAAATGGTGAAATCCTGTCTCTACTGAAAATATGAAAATTAGCCAGGTGTGGTGGTACCTGCCTGTACTCTCAGCTATTTGGATGGTTGAGGCAGGAGAATCCCTTGAACCTGGGAGGTGGAGGTTGCATTGAGCTGAGATCGCTTCACTGCACTCCAGCATGGGAGACAGAGCAAGACTCTGTCTCAAAAAATAAATAAAGCTATGTGGAGTAGCTCACACCTGTAATCCCAGCACTTTGGGAGGCCGAGGCGGGTGGATCTTCTAGAGGTCAGGAGTTCGAGACCGGCCTGGCCACCATGGTGAAACGCTGTTTCTACTAAAAATACAAAAAATAACTGGGGATGGTGGTGTGCACCTCTAATCCCAGCTGCCTGGGAGGCTGAGGCATGAGAATAGCTTGAACCCAGCAGGCAGAGGCCACAGTAAGCTGAGATGGGACCACTGCATTCCAGCCTGGGTAACAGAGCAAGACTCTGTCTCAACCTCCTCCCTCCCCAAAAAAAAACTATTTAATATGCTTACTTTTTTAAAAAAAATTCTTTTTTTTTTTTTTTTTTTTTTGAGACAGAGTTTCGCTCTTGTTACCCAGGCTGGAGTGCAATGGCGCGATCTCGGCTCACCGCAACCTCCGTCTCCTGGGTTCAGGCAATTCTCCTGCCTCAGCCTCCTGAGTAGCTGGGATTACAGGCACGCGCCACCATGCCCAGCTAATGTTTTGTATTTTTAGTAGAGACGGGGTTTCACCATGTTGACCAGGATGGTCTCGATCTCTTGACCTTGTGATCCATCCGCCTCGGCCTCCCAAAGTGCTGGGATTACAGGCCTGAGCCACCGCGCCCGGCCCATTTTCTTAAGATATGGCTCGCTCTGTTGCCCAGGCTGGAGTAGAGTGTCGTGATCTTGAATCACTACAATCTCTGCTTCCTGGGTTCATATGCTTACATTTTAGTGGAGTTCAGGCCCCTGTCATAATCCTAAACTTGTGGCCTTTTATTAGTTTTATAAAGGTGGTTTAGTTTTAAGAAGGGATATTATTATTTAAACTATAAACTAAATTTCTCCCAAAGTTAGCTTGTCCTACACATTTAACCAAGGGCAGTTAAAGGCAAGATGGAGTTGATTAGGTCAGATCTGTTTCACTATCATAATTTTTTTACTGTTAAAAATTTTTGCAAAGGCTGTTTCACAGTAGATAAAGTTGCATTGAGGCTTTGCCCAGAAAATCCAGAGAGAATGCCTTCAGGGGGTAGGTAACTCAATCCCCATCCCCTGGGTCCTGTCTGTAATGTGTTTCAACTATTAATGTCTCTCATTGTCATTTTAAGAATGTTATATAAATGGAATTATATAGTATATAACCTTTTGTATTGGCCTTTTTCACTCAGCATAATTCTCTTGAGATTCATCCAAGTTATATTATCAGTAGTTCCACTCTTCTTTCTTTATTCTTTTTTTTTTTTTTTTTTAAACTAGTCAAGTGAAGCAGTGGGAGTTTTTTTTTTCTTGAGATGGAGCCTTGCTCTTGTCGCCCAGGCTGGAGTGCAATGGCATGATCTCAGATCACTGCAACCTCCGTCCCCTGAGTTCAAGTGATTCTCCTGCCTCAGCTGCCCAAGTAGCTGGGATTACAGGTACCCGCCACCACACCCAGCTAATGTTTGTATTTTTATTTTTTTATTTTTATATATATTTTTTGAGACGGAGTCTCGCTCTTGTTACCCAGGCTGGAGCGCAATGGCGTGATCTCAGCTCACCGCAACCTCTGTCTCCTGGATTCAGGCAATTCTCCTGCCTCAGCCTCCTGAGTAGCTGGGATCACAGGCACGTGCCACCATGCCCAGCTAATTTTTTGTATTTTTAGTAGAGACGGGGCTTCACCATGTTGACCAGGATGGTCTCGATCTCTTGACCTCGTGATCCACCCGCCTTGGCCTCCCAAAGTGCTGGGATTACAGGCTTGAGCCACCACGCCCGGCTAATGTTTGTATTTTTAGTAGAGATGGGGTTTCACCCTATTGGCCAGGCTGGTCTTGAACTCTTGACCTCAGGTGATCCACCTGTCTCGGCTTCCCAGAGTACTGGGCTTTTACAGGTGTGAGCCACGGTGCCTGGCCATCTCCACTCTTTTTAATTGCTAAATAGTATTTCATGGGTTGGATGTACTGTAGTTTGGGAGGCTGATGTGGGCAGATTGCTTTGAGACCAGCCTGTGGTTTGAGAACAGCCTGGGCCACAGGGTGAAACTTTATCTTGGCCGAGTGTGGTGGCTTACGTCTGTAATCTAAGCACTTTGGAGGCCAAGGTGGGCGGATCACCTGAGATCGGGAGTTCAAGACCAGCCTGACCAACATGGTGAAACCCCCGTCTTTATTAAAAAAAAAAAGAAGAAACTCCATCTCTACTAAAAATACAAAAAAAAAAAAAAAAAAAAA